CCAGCAGATCCCTGGTGGACAACACCACACTGTAAGAATAAAACCCAGAAAAAAGACTCGCTGCAGTGACAGGTCCAGCCCTGATGACCCTGCAGCTTCCAGCCACCAGGACCTACTGGAACATGGCCCCCTTTCCATCAGGGTGACTGGTTTCCATCCTCCCCCAGCCAGTCCCAAAGGTGGCTGCTCCTCTGGCAGTAATACAGCCCTCCACCAAGCCAAGGTCTCCCAAACCATCCCTATCTTCCAGCCCCTTGCACATTCCCTCCCCTCCTTTCCCTTGAAGACATCAGCTTTCTGGAAGCAATTTAATTGGAGCTACAGAGAGGCTTCCTCAGGCAGTGTGGGTCGGCTGGAGGCCCTGCTTTCCCAAAATGTTTCACTTCCCCCCAAGGCAGCCACACCAGGGACCCTGCAGACCCTTCCTGGCTGGGAGAGAGAAGCATCACTTTTGCCTTCAAAGCCTTTCAACTGGAAGAGGGGAAAAAAAAATAGTAATAACAAATATCAAAGCAAAGGCTTCCTCCTCTTTGAAGGGCAGGAGGGAGAGCAGCCAGGCAAGGGCTGGACCTGCAGAAAGCCGAGCAGGGGACCCCGATCCTGCAGGGTTGGAACATGAGCACTTTCGTGATGAGCTTTCTCAGAAGCAGGATGATGCCTTAGGTGCAAGAATTGCATTGAAATTCAAATCGGGGTGTTGAACTCTCTCCTGCGCCTTGGGAAACCTCCCTCCGTGGAAACACAGAATAAGGAGGAGGGCAGGGTTTGATACCCCGGAGAAGGGCTTGGGGGGGTGGGGGAAGGAAAGCAAACTGCCCCATCCTGCCCTGAGAAACACTTCAGCCAAGGGGTGCTGGGCTAGCCAATGTACCCTGCTTACAGCACCCCAAAACCACCAGCGCTGCACACACCATGCCTGTCCCTCCTCTGCCCGTGGTGGGATATTAGCTTGGGGGGTGGGGAAGAGAAGGGAGGGAGGGAGGAAGAAAAAGAAACCCCATATCGTAATTGCTATATTAAAGAGAAATAGCAGGCAAGAATAATAAGAGAGGTGTCAGAAGTGAAATACAGTAACAGACATTAAAAAAAAAAAAAAGACTACAGTTCTGCGATGGGGGTGTTAATTGAACACAGAGCTGGAGAGAACAAAGGGGTGTTAAGGAAGAAAAGAAGGGGAAAAATCCTACCTCCTCCAAAGATCTGATTTGAGTTAAGTTTGGTGAAGATAATGCACAAGGAAAGGTAGCTAAGAGGCACCTTATATAGTTATTTTGTTCTAAAATTAAAAGGAAAAAAAAAGACACAACAAACCCATTATTCAACAACAATTGCACAGCTAATCAGTGCTGTCTATAAATATTCCACTTCGTAAATCCCCCCCTCCACTGGTGCTATGTACATTTTTCTTTTAATCCTGAATTCCTTCAACACAGAAGGGTGAGGAGGGTAAGAAAATAAAAATCGTGTGATTTCAAATAGAAAGTCAGGGTCTTTTTAAGAAGTAGAATTTGCCCGATGCCCTCACCTCCCCCAAATGAGCAGAGAAAGTGAAACGATGGGAAAAGCTCTTAAGGAGGAGGAATCAGATTAAATGGTCATATATCCTGTGCTCAGCCTCTCCCCGCCGGTCCCCGCCGAACGAGATGGGAGTTGGGAAAGGCTCACAGCTGAAATAGATGCTGCTGCATTTTGACAGCAGATATTTTCCAGTTTGCCATCCAAGGACCCCACGTCTGCGTACGCCTTGCCTGATTCTTCTGCTTAGCTATTCTGCTCATGCAGAGAACAGCTTAAAAAAAAAAAAAAAAAAAAAAAAACATACCAAGGGAGAGAAAAAAAACAAGGGGAAAAAAAAAAAAAAAAGCCATAAAGACAGAGCCCCTACCCCTGCCTTCAAACTTTTTATAAATCAGCAATGCAATTTCCGATTTCAATCCCTATTGAAGGAGGAATCAATTGTATTTAGGACAACAATGCCTCCCATTTCCATAATTATTATTCCAAAAAGCCAGCCAGCCATTTGAAGGCAGTCCTGCCCCTTCCCTCGCAACAAAGCGACCAACAGCAAGTGAAAACACACCAAATGAACGCCGGCAACTTCGAGGTATATTTAAGCGGCAATTTTTTTGCCCCCACGTACTCCCGCTTGGATCAAACCTCTCAACTTTCAATACTTTTAAACAGACATCACCCCAAAAGCAGCAATCTCCAGGCTGCAGACAAAAGACAACTCACTGAGCTTTTTTTTTTTTTTAATCATTATTATTTTTAAAAAGTGTTTATAAATCCTTTAAAAATAACTGAAGAGCCCAAACGCAAAAGGGAACTCTTCGGCCAGTACAGACGACCTCTTTTTCCAAGAACTTTATGGACACTTTGGGTTTGCTCAAGACAAGGTTAACACTATGAAATATTAGCCATAATGTTGCGAGAGATGGTGGTAAAGTCTCCGTAAGGCTCTGGAGTCACTTAAATCAGGCAGCGGGGTAACCGAACGCACATTTCTGCACATCATAACGCCGGGGGGGAAGATGTACACAAGCACATTCAAACACCCACCAGTGACCACAAACAATCACCAGGATTTCAAACGCGGCACATGCAGAAATCTGGGAAGCTAAATGGAAAGTAGGAAGCAAGAAGAAGTTGCCTCAACTTTCACGCTGCTGCCCACAAGGAAGGGGTAAGCAAACGGAACCAGGCCGTACCCTCGGCCCCAGAAAAAAAACACAGGCGAACTTCCTCCTAGCATCGGGCCCACAAAGCAATAATTAAAAAAAAAAATAATAAAAATAAACCAAAACCATCTGGCCGTTTGCTTCCTTACGAAGTGTGACTTTTGGGGATGCAGATGGGGGAGAGGGGAGGAGGTCTTTGAATTTGCAAAGTGAAGGAATTCACTGTAAACATATCTGAGGGTAGATAAACAACACTCCAAAAGCCATCTTGAGTCAACCTCTTCAGAGACCTCCACAGCGCAGCCCCGTAGCCAAGTAACCCAGGCACAACAGCAACAAATAGCATTTCAGAAAAATGTAAGACAGCCCCAGTTCACACCTGAATATCCTGATTTCCAGCAGCATGCTTCGCCCTATGCCATCTCTTTCCGTTTTCCTTAGCAGACAGGAATTATCCCACCTAGTCACTGTGGGTATGTACAGTTCCTCATCCCTCCCCAGCTCGCCGGGACCTCACAGCATCCTCCAAGTCACCTGGATTTTCCCACCAAGTTTAGTCCCAATAGATTCCCCATCCCCTAACTTTGAGACTGCACTGATAGCAATGCCAAACTGGGATTAAACATCTCCCCTGACAAAAACTGTCCCTGCACAGGCAACGTACACAGCATCAAGTACACATGGAAAAAAAGACAGGCAAACACATTCTTTGACTCACACAAAATAAAGGAGAAAGAGGGGAAAAGGGAAAGGAACTTGGTGGCTCCTTTTTTTGTGGAGGCACACAGGGAAACACTATGAAACCCATAAAATCTATTTCTAGACAGACTGCCCCGTGTTACAGCAAATGAACCGTTCAGAGGTTCCCATACCAAACCCACTGCTTGATATTACAGGAACTCTGTAAGGAAGGACTCCTCGGGAAGGTCAGAGCCGGCCCTGCAGCTGTGAGGACTTCAGAGAGCCGAATGCCATCGGTAGGTGCTTTGTCTGGGCTACACACTGCACAAACAACGCTTAACAAAGGGGCCCCTTAGTCATTTTATATATATTGCAAGAGTCAAGTAATTGTATTTTCAATCAGCTGCTCATGCTAGGAGGTTTTATATATATATATTTAAGAAAGGGAAAAAAAAAAAATAAGACCCAGTTCAGGCTTCTGAAAGCTGTTCCCCTTTTATGTGTAACTATCAATGTATATCAACTGGGTGTGCAATCATATTTATTGTCACTTTCATTCATGTCATGCCCTTGCTTATATGGCTTAGATATGAATTATTGACTGTTTCAGTCCTTGTTGTAAAGGGGGGACGGGGGGGGGAGAAGTCAAGTACTTTGCAGCGTGCTAAAACAAGGCGGATAGATCGGCAGGGAAAAGCCCACGGATCAACTCTGGTCAGCTCAGAAAACCAAGAGCAGAGACGAACAATCCCTCCTCCCCCCTCCAAAATTTCCATCGTTCCCCCCACTTTTGTTTTTTTCTATTAAAGAAAAAAAGAGAGATTCCAACAAATACATAAATAAGTGGTGCATGTTGCTAAATGTCCTTCCCTGAGCATCTGTTGTTTAAGATCACCCTTGATTGATGACTGCTATTTTTTAATTGTTGCTTTTAAAATTTAAATGCCCCCCTGGGATGTGTTATAAGTGTGTTAGTACATGGTAGGAGGTCTGGAAAGTGGGAAACAGCAGAACCAACGCTCTCATGCCATTAGCTTCTAAAGAAGCCTGAGAACACCCCATGCCATAAAACAACAGTACCCTAAAGTAACTAACAATCTAATATATTGCTTTCACTAAAGGCAACTGACAACTTGCTCTTACATGAGCTAGCCTGGATGATTGGCAGACAAGAGCATTTTAACCCCTTCTTAGAAAAAAAAAAAAAGTAAACCTTTATGTTTACCCGAATACTGATGGCAATAAAACTGTACAATTTCATTTTGTTGGGGTTATTTCACCCCCACACACACTCTGCATCCAGATTTTATTTTGTTTTTTTTTTAAACAGTGCCATGTCCTAATGAAGAAACCAGAGCAAGACAGAAATTGCAAGGGGGTTGATTTTTTTTCTTCTCCACAGAAAAAGCAATAAATAAAGAAAGGCTATACAATAGAAATTAAACCACAGTATTTTCCCTTCCAGACACAAACCACATCACGCAAGTCCACTGCCCGAAGCATTAAAGACTGACAAGTTATTTCTCCCCACTTAAATACTCCTGCATGTGGGGGGGCCCAGGGGGGCACAAACTTGGTGGAATAAAACCCTCAAAGAGCAAAAAGAAAAATAATACAGAATCAACAGCGTTGATTTCCTACCTGTTTTTTCTTTGATTTCACACAAGACATTAAAAAGCGCTGGCTTCATCCTGTGGCAGTTTAAAGCATGTTTCCTGGAGAGAAAAGAGAGGAGGGTGAGGTTAGGATGTCACCACGAGGAACAACTTCCCAAATTCAAGCCGGCTGGCGTGTGCGTGCCAGAGGTGGGGGGGGACAGGTTTGTGCCCCCTCAGCCCCAGTGCTGCAAACAGCCACCTACCCAACATGGGGGAGATGAATAACACTAATTTAGGAATGGCTTGAAAATCGCCTTTGCCACCGAGCAGCTCCCATGGCCAGCGGGAGCCAGGCGATCTCCACGCCGAAGCCAGAAGCTTTTGGGAGCCAAGCTGGCATCAACTGTCTTATTCAATACAGAGTGAGCACTGCACTCTCTCTGTCCCCCACCTCCGATATTACACCCGGCCATGTGCTTTATTAGGCTCGTTCTGCGAGGCAGAGGGAAAATAAACCCCCCTTGCCCCAGCGCTGGAAACATCCTCTGCTTAGAGCTGTCAGTTCGGGGGATCTCAGCGCCCAACTTGGAGCACAGAAACGCACACGTATGGAACGAGAAACCCATTCCTCTACCTCCAATGCCACTTACATCCAGCTTATTTGCAGGTGTTAAAAATTTAATTCTTTACAATTGGGACAGTAAACACATTAAAAATCACAGCCGGCTGCTGTTGGGAAGGGGAGGGAATGCTATTCAGCGCCGCTCTTTTTGACTGCTGTTATTTCAGAGCTGACCGTTCTCCCGTGGGTTTTGAGGAGAGACTTTTGGGGGGGGGGGGGGGGAGGGTGGTTTTAATTGGGTGGTTTTAAAACCCACCAAGCACCCGCTGAGGCAAAGAAAAATATCATTTAATTTTTTCTCTCAAGCCACACGACCCTTTAGACAGGGGTTCAGTTGTATAAAGGGCTGTTGCTATCAGGCACCGGTTACGGGATTTCTGTTTACCAACCGAAATTACACGCGAAAGACGATGTGAACATCTGGCAAACATTCACACTACTTACCCCACCACCCACAACATGTTAAAAAGATTTATATATCTGATGAAGTCTCTCAAAGGTGTATACCCTTGCAGAACCACAGTGTTCCCTTATCAGCACACCCAGATGGGCGCAGACATTTGGGTATACGCAAATCACGTACATATGCTGTCGGGGCCCTCTTACAAATAATGCTGGCACTTTGCATCTTCCCAAAACTTCATTAAAAAAAAAAAAAAAAAAAAAAGGCAGCAGCAAAATAACCCCTGCAATAGTAGGGTGGAAGGAGGAAATGCAAAGCCAAATATTATTGATAAATACAGTACGTTTGTCAGCTCAGATATAAAAATATTTTTTGCAAAAAGTACTGAGGAAGCAGCTGAAATAGACCAGCAAGGCAAACCCATAAAGCCTTCTCTTAGCTCTGTTCTGCTTTGGTTTTAGTGATTTGATTAACTACACTAAATTATCCAGGCAGGAACACACACGATTCCTGCAACTTTCCAAAGAAAGATCCCCTCACTGCCCCGGGTCTGGCTGGGGAGAAAGTGAATGATTTCCTCCTCCTCACAGCTACTCTGCCCCTGCAAGAACATAAGAAAATAAGATCAGCCTCGCAACAAGCCTTTTTAGTAAGTAGGAGCTTTACAGAAGCTGTGGAGGTGAGGAGGACGAAAGTTGTGGTTTGGGGGGTACTTTTACCCTCCTGGAAGTTCTTCATAAGCGAGTTTTGGGGCTGTGAGGAGCGTTTTTCCAGGAACAATGTATTCTAGCAATCTGCTCCAGCTCGGGGCATGAATACCAGGGGGAAGGACACCACACCGAGCAGCTCTGCAGCCCAGAAGAGATTTCAAGCATACCCCAGGCGATTCGGAGCAACTTTTTTGTTTTAATTCCTTCATTTGGGTATTTTTTCCCCCCTCCCTTAACTTTTGGTAGCGCTTTAGAAGGTGTGTATTAGGTTTGCACTCCCTGAAGCTCAGGGCAATTCAGATACCGGCTTTTACAGCCTTATTTTTCCTTTTTAAATACATCTGCAATTAAGAAGAAAAAAAAAATAAAAAAGGCGAAGCGTCTACGAGCATCTTCCAAGCGCAGAAACACGGCCTTAAAAATAACACCACTACAGGGCCCTAGGAAAGAACATCATCAGCGGCCCTGAAAGCGGGGCAGCACTTCGTGGCTCTTTCGGAGGAGCCCGGAGCGGAGCCTCCCGCACGCCCAGCCTGCCCCAACCACCATCGCCCTCCGCAATTATCCCCCAGCCCAAAAAGGCTGGGAAAAGCCAGGCCCAGTTTGGGATGGAGGAAGAAGAGGGGGGCTGCAGGCGCTGTGACCCCTCGATACCCCAACGAAGTTGGGGGTGGTGGGAGGGAGGAAATAGGAAATAAAAAGGATGGATATCAACCATTCTCTTCGCCTCCCTCCCCCCGTTTCTCAGCGGCAGGGGCAGCAGGACCCGGTCCCCCGGTGCGCCCC